AGGCAATCTACTGAATCAGGAGGAGTTGTTTGCAAATGATATAATTAATAAGGGGTTAATGTCCAAACATATATAGATTTCATACAATTCAACATAAAAAAAAATGTCCAAAAGAAAACATTAGCAGAAGACCTGAATAGACATTTTTTCTAAAGAGGACATACAGATGGCCAATAGACATATGACAAGATGATCAGCATTATTAATCTTTAAGGAAATGGAAATTAAAATCACAATGAGATATTACCTCACACTTGCTAGAATGCTTATTATCAAAATTACAACATATAATGAGTGCTGGTAAGGATGTTGAGAAAAGAGAACTCTTGTGCACTATTGGTGGGATTGTAATGAGAGCAGCCAGTATGGAAAACAGTATGAGGATTCCTAAGAAAAATTACAAGTAGAATTACCATATGACCCAGAAATTTTTCTTCTTGGGATTTATCTGAAGAAAAAAAACATTGATTCAAAAATATTTTGGCACCTCTAAGTATCTTGCAGCATTATTTACAATAGCCACAAAATGAAAGCAACACAAGTGCCCATCAATAGATGAGTGGATAAAAAAGCTATGGTACATATACGGAATGCAGTGCTACTTACTCATGAAAACGAATAAAAATCTTAGCTTTTGCAACAGCATGTTTGGACCTAGAGGGCATTATTCTAGGTGAAGTAAGTCAAACAGAGACAGACAAATGCATATAATTTCATTTATATGTAGAATCTAAAGAATAAAAAAAACAAAGTAGAAACAGACTCAGATACAATTTTCAGACTCATAGACTGACAGTTTTCAGAAGGGAGGGGTTGTTGGGGAACTGGGGGAGATTGAGATATTCAAACTGGTAGTCAAAGAATAGTCAGAGATGTAGATTACTACATAGGAAATATAGTCAATAATATTTTAATAACTATGCGGCTGGGTGGGCTTGAAACATTGAAAGGACACTCTGTAGAGTACATCATTTTCTAACTGTGTTGTACTTCTGAAACTAACACAGAACACTGTTGAGTGTAAACTGTAATTGAAAAATGATACATGATAGATAGATAGATAGATAGATGATAGATAGATAGATAGATAGATAGATAGATAGATAGATAGATGATAGATAAAATGGAGAGAGAAGTGAAGAAGATTCCCTGGTATAAAGAGAGCATCTCAATGGTATAATTTCTCTTTGAAATGTTTTACTTTTTCATTTTCTTTAGTAATAATAAAGACTGCATCACTCTCCCGTATTTTACAAAGTGATAGCACATGCAGTACTCTTTCTAAATATCTCCTTGTCACCACACCTGATCCAACAATTGGTCTCAAGGCTTGAGAAGGAATCAAAATCTTACCCCCTCCCTAAAAGTGAATACATTATTATTTCATGAAAAAGCAAGTGCCTTCACTAAATCACAGGTTAAATTTATAAATCTGTCCTCACCCAAAATATACATATACATACATATAACACTACTCTGTGACTGTACTCAAGGGTAACTGGGATGCTTCATGTGTCTTTCTCTGTTGTTGACTTAGAAAGTGTTAAACAGTGAGTCAAAGTAATTATCCTTTTGTCTTCAGCTCTGTTGACTTTGAGAATGTTTCTAGAGAGACTTCTTCATGTGTTGGGATCATAACTATTCTCTAGGTGCTTTAAAGTGTGCTGCCTGGGAAAAAATGAAATGATGTAAATGAAAGTATTTTATATATTAAGCACAAAAAAAAAACTGTCAAGTATTCCGACTAGATACTATTTTCCCTAAAATGAATAAAAAAGCATTTGTTTGTTTGAAAAAGAAAAATGGCAAGGAGGGAGGAAGAATACTGTTACTTAACCTTCATTTCCTTTTTTTTTAAATTTATTATTATTCTTTTTAATTCTTACCTGAGGATATTTTTACATTTTCTCTTCGGACAGAGTGGGAGGGAGAGAAAGAGAGACAGAGAAACATCAGTGGGAGGGAGACGCATCAATTGGCTGCCACCCACATGACCACAACCGGGGCTAGGACGAACCGCAACCAAGGTACATGCTTTTGGTCGGAATCGAACCTGGCACCCTTTGGTCTGCAGGCTGATGCTCTAACCACTGATCAAAACCAGCTAGGGCTTAACTTTCATTTCTAAGGATATTTCTATTGGATATAGAATTCTGGGTTGAGAGTTCTTTCCTTTCAGCCCTTTAAACATAATGTTTCACTTCACTCTGGGTTATGTAGTTTCTAACAAAAAAATCTGCAGTCAGTTGAGTTGGTGTTCCATCAGGAAATACATCATTTTGGGGGGGGAGTCCTTTCAAAATTTTTGTCTTGGTCTTTAGTTTTCACCATTAAGATTTTGATGTATTTGGGCATGAGTGAATTGGAGTTTATCCTTTTTGAAGTTCTATGAAATTATTAAATTAGTCAGTTTTTTTTTTTTACCAAATTTTGGAAGTTTTCAGCCTTTAATCTTTCTCCTCTCCTTCTGGGACTACAATAACATAAATATTAGACTTTTTGTTATTGTCCTACTGGTCCCTGAAGATGTGTTCTTTCTTTAACATTGGGGAGGGGACTATATTTTTCTCTGTTGTTTAGAATGAATAATTTTTAGTTATCTATTTTTAATTTTCTTGAATGTTTACTGTGCCATCTCCATTGTGCTATTGAGCTCACTTAGTGAAGTATTTTTTTTTTTTTAAATTTAGCTGTAGTTTTTCAGTTCTAAAATTTTTATTTGGTTCTTCATATCTTCTATTTATTTGCTGAACATTTCTATTTTTATTTAATTCTTTTAAAATGTATTTTTAATTATAGTTGACATACATTATTATTAGTTTCAGGTGTACATTATAGTGATTCAACATTTATATACCTTAAAAAGTGATCACAATCATGAGTTTAGTAATCACCTGTCACTGTACACAGTTATTATAATTTTATTGACTATATTCCCTGTGCTGTATATTACATTCCCATGAATTGTTTGGTTTATAACTGGAAGTTTGCACTGCTTAATCCCCTTCCCCTTTATTGCCCACCCACCTATCACTTCACTGCTAACAGCCATCAGTTCTCTGTACTACGAGTTTGCTTCTGTTTCATTTTGTTTGTTTTGTATTTTAGATATCATAGGATATTTGCTTTCTCTGTCAGACTTATTCCACCTAAAAAAAACCCCAAAAATCATCTGTTCTATTCTATATGATCCACATTTTTTCCCCATAGTTGTTGCATCAATCTACATTTTCACTAGGGTTTCTTTTTCTCTGTATCCTCACCAAAACTTGTTGTTTGTTGATTTATTGATAATAGCCATCTGACAGGTGTGAGGTGGTATCTCATTGTGGTTTTGATTTGTATTTCTCTGAAGATAAGTGATATTGAGCAACTTTTCATGTTTATTGGCCATCTGTATGTCCTCTTTGAAGAAGTATCTATTTACGTGTTCTGCCCACTTTTCAACTGGGTTGTTTATTTTTTCTGATGTTAAGTTGTCTGAGTTCTTTGTAAATTTTGGATATTAACCTCTTATCAGATGTATCACTGGAAAATGTCATCTCTCGTTCATTAGATTGTCTTTTTGTTTTGTAGATCTTTTCCTTTACTGTGCAAAAGCTTTTTAATTTGATGTATTTCCCTTTGTTTATTTTTCCCTTTTACCCCTTACCCAAGCATATATGTAAGAGAAAATATCACTAAGATAAATGTCCAAGATTTTACCGGCCATGTTTTCTTCTAAGAGTTTTATGGTTTCAAGTCTTATATTTAAATCTTTAATCCATTTTGAGTTTATTTTTGTATATGATGTAATAAGGTTGTATAGTTTCATTTTTTGCATCTATCTAATTTTTTAAACACCATTTATTGAATAGAATATTTTTACTTTATTGTATATTCTTGCCTCCTTTATCAAAGAGTAATGGATCATATAGGTGTGTGTTTATTTCTGGGGATCTCTTTTTTTGTAGTGTCATTATCTTCTTTTGGAATTAGAGTAATGCTGGTGTCATAAATTGAGCTTGTGAGCCTTCTCTTGAATTTTTTGGAATAGTTTGAGTTAATTCTCACTCCATTGTAAGATAACTAATGGATTGATTTTATTTATACTGTGGGAAACAAACGAAACCATTAAATGTTTATATTTAAAATAAGTACATTAATAGATGTAGTGAAGCTCTTTGTAGGCTACATGCTCTGACTCTAGTCTATAAATGTTCCTGACTTTCTAACACAACTGCCAAACTCAGCCTCCACATATTGTTTTTAAAACATTCATTCCAAACCCATTAGGTACGTCTATTATGGTCTTGTTAAGATAGCAGGATGTTGAATGGAATCTAAAATATAGATTTTATGTTTGTTGAATAGAAGCAAAAGGGGAAGTACATAAAACACTTTTATTTGTTATTCCTTCAGGGAGAGATATTAAAGAAAAATAGTGATACTTCTTTTGGAAGAATATCTTTTAATTTGACATTATTTCAATGGAGCATTTAGGGCAAATCTGTGTGTTTTGCCTTTATTTTTAGCACCTTGTACAACATCCTGGATAGAACTAGTGGGACAGATAACATTACTCATTTACATGTTGAACAAATAAGTAAAAGTATCTACAAGATATATGTTGATTAGAGGATTTCTGTAAGTGCAGACATGCCCTTATGATACTGGTTCTCAAAATTAGGTCAGTTTTATCTAATTTGTATCTCCCTACACCCTCTAAACAAAACTTATAGGGATCTTATAACTCCTTTTCTGTGCTCCCATATGTAAGCACATGCTCAAAGAGTAGTAAAAACTTATAAATAACAAACACGGTCACAGCACCACCAGTTCTATTGGCATGATTCTTCTCTCTAGTTCCCTTTGTTGCTCTATATCCCTCATTGAGAAAAGCATAAAGACCAGCAAGGAATAGTCTCGGGGAGAGAGTGGTAGGCCTTGAACACTAGTATTCACAGGCAGGTACATGAAAAACTTGTGAGTTATACATTAAAATTATTTTTTTCTTTTAGATCTTGAATTTGCCTGAACTGATTGATGACTGCAAGTATAAAACTAATCACCTTAGAGTACAGAATAGAAAGGAGCTTATTAAAATATTATCTGCACGGTAAGCTTGGATCTACTATTTGTACATTTAAGAATTGTTTCATTAGCATTTCTCTGGTATTTTGTGGTATTTTTATAGGCTTATTTAGATCAAGTTGAAATTTGTTTTCCATTTCACAAAACTGGTTAATGGGAAGATTAAGACTTTTAAAACTTTGAATGCATTTGAAACATTTTAATTGTCTTTTTAAGTACTGTCTTAACAATGATTGTGGCATGTTATCTGGGTTAGAATATGATAAACACCACCAACAACAGTAACAATAATAATTGAACATATTTTTGCCTTTACTGTGTTAAACACTCTACATACCTGATCTCTTTTAATCCTTACAATCATTCTGTGAGGTAAGTTTTATTATCCCCCTTTTTACAGAGAAGAAAACTGAGATGAATGGCAGTTAAGAGTTTCTTGGCTTTTCTAAACCCCTTCTGTGAAGTTTGTTGTGATACTTGAAAATGCCATATTGAGTTATGGGTCACAAAGCATTAATGCTAATTAATTAGAGTATTTGATTTCCACATTATTCCATTCACATTGGGTTATGCTTTTGTTTTGTTAAAACCTGTACCAGGTTGTCAAATTAGCCTCAGAAAATGGTAGTAATTCTAATTTTTTAAAAATCAGTTTCACTTGTTTATTTCTGCATTTCTAAATATATGAAATAGACTTTGTGGATTTTGCAGATCTATATGCCCACTTGAGTTGTTCTTCAGTATGTTCTTCATTATACCAATAAATTATGTACTGTTGTTCAAATACCATGTCTTATGAATTGAAAAAACACTTGTGTTTCTATGTAGTATATATCAAAGATCTTAGAAAATAAAATTTTGCTAGTATGATTTTTATTGTTGTTTTCTTTATATTTGAGGCTTTCTATGTGAATCAACATCCATTACCTTCTGGATTTTAAACATTTCTTCTCTGTACTGCCTGTATCTATTCCATGTATCCAAAACTCTTCAGTCCATGGGGGCTCTGTGTGTGGGACTGATATGCAGAGAATAGGGGAATGAGAATCAGCCTACCCTTTCTTAGTATTAGTTAACTATAACTCTGATTCTACTGCAAAGCCTGAATCCTCAATCATTAACCTTTCTCCACATGAGAACTAACTATTAATTCTGCTTTGCCAGCACTTTCATTATTTCAAGAACCTCACAGTTTAAATATTGGTTTCCTAAGTACTAAAACTTTTATTCCTTGCTAAATTATTTATAGAATTATGTTATGAAAAGACTTTTAGCAGCACCTGTCACAGATTAATTTCTATTTTTTCTCTTCAGGATGAATTAAATAATATCACCTTTTTTTTTTTTTTTTCCTACTCTTATATACACAGAAGGAGGATTTCAGCATTTTGGAACTCCTCAAGTTCTTATGTCTTCATTTGCACTTAATAAGGTTGAGGAATCAAAACAAGGAAGACACTAGTGAGTAGTCAGTCTTAAGAGAGATACTACTCAGACTGCAGGGGGAGCTCTTGTTGCTCAGAGGCCAGGTTCATGTGCTCTTGTTCTTGTATGCTGGCATTTTCTGATGCTTTCTTGTGATATACTCTTTAGTCTCTTCCGGTTCATATCTCTTCTCCTGTGTGGTGAGTTAAACAAACACCGATGACCAGGGAAGAATAGGATATGATTCATTCCCAGTTATAACCTTGTCATTTGTTTTTCTAAACAAGTGTCACTGGGTTCATTAGTACTGTCTACTGCTCAGCTTTCAGAAGTCTCTGTGAACCTTTCACAATTTACATTTTATGACTCTGGTTTTACTAGTATTTAAATGTTTAGTGGCTCTATGGCTCTCTGCTAATTATAGTATTAAATCTGGTCTTTTTAGTCAGACATCATGGTCTTGCATAATCTTATATGATCTTTCCTTTCTCTCTTTTCCTCAGTACAAGGCAGCACTCCAGCCCTACTCCCATTTGGTTTCTTGTGCTCTCTCTCTGAAATGCTTCCCAGACTTACTATTATTCTGAAACAGTCATGCTTCAAATCTAATTCTACAGCTTCATGAAATCATACTCAAATGTCTTTATTTGGGTTCCCAGTCAGAAAAAGAGGTGTCCTTCTGGCCTTGTATCCAGCCTATCAGTTATCAAACATAAATGGAATCTACAGAAGTTGTTTTGGGAATGATTTTGTTAAAGGTCTGCTCAATACATTTTTCCTTTCATTTGACAGCAATCTCAGAACTTGTAAATCATAGACATATTAGTTCCCAACCACAAAAGGAGGCAGGGTGAAAGGAAGGAAAGAAACATCATTTATATGATGCCAAGTGATTACTAAAAATGTATTATTAGTTTTTCTTTACAGATGAAAATCTGAAGTGTGGGGATGTTAGTCTCAAGGTTAGACCCATAGTGAATAGTTATTTAGAAAAGGTACTCAAAGGCTATACCTTTCCCACATATCATATCATGCCCCTGAAATAGTACCTGAAGTGTTATTGCATCCTTGTTTATTTAACTCAGTACATAGTTGTTAAGCACCAAGGATAGAGAACTAAATGAAACAAAGCAAATTGGTGAAAATAATGCAGGGAAAGTAAATGAGGAGTGCCACAAGTTGGGTGTGAGGCTGGCTATTACATTTAGACCAGTCATAACCTTTTTGATAAAGTGACATTTGTGCAGAGTCCTGAAGTAAATGATATAGGGATACCAGCAGATATCTTGAAGAAGCTTTCTAGGCAGTAGGTGCATGGTTGAAAGCTTAAAAGTAGCAAAGAGGACATTGTACTGGAACTCAGTAATCAAGGGTAAAAATGGGAGTAGGTGGGTCCAGAGAGAGAGTGAGAGAGGTAGCAGGCAAATCATGTTGCAAAAGTTGTGACTATATGATGAAGTAGTTTCTTAAACTTGCGAGAAAAAGGGATTATTTTGGTTATGAAAACTGTTTGCTTATCAGCAACTTCTATTTTCTAATTAATGAGTAGGCATTTTTTCCCCCACTTTTACTGAGATATAATTGACATATAACATGTATTAATTTAATATATGCAACATAATAATTATATATATGTATGTGTATGTGTGTGTGTGTGTGTATACACACACACACATACATATATACATAAATGGTCACCTCAGTAAGTTTAGTTAACATCCATCCTCTCATGTAGTTATATACTTTTATTCTTGTGATGAGGATTTTTAGGTCTACTCTCTTAGCAACTTTCAATATACAATTGAGTATGGTTAACTATAGTCACCATGCTGTATGTTAAATACCCAGAACTTTTTCATCTTATAACTGGAAATTTTTACATTTTGACACCTTCACCCATTTTCCCCACCCTAAAGAGATGTCTTGAAGGGGTTACTATACTTAGTAGAGTTCAAAGTCTTCCAGCAACTTAGAGTTAGCAAAACCTCCTTTTTTACCTGAAGAGACCTGAGGGACTCAAGGAACTCAATTGTACATGCTTCTTATTTATTAACAAATATTTATTGAACACTTAATATATGCCAGTAACATTTTTGAACACTAGGAATAGTGCTTAAAAAAACAACAACAAAAAAACGACAAAAGCCCTGCCCTACTGGACTTTCCTTAGAGCAACCCTTGCGGACTTTCTAGAAGACTTAAAACATTTTTTAAAGAATTTTTCTGTAGAGGATCCAAGATGGCTGCAGGGTAGGTAAAAGCTATACACACCTCCTCCAGGCTCCAAACTAGATTTACAGCTAAATTATAGAACAGTCAATCTGAATAACCAACTGAAGGACAGCTGAACAGGTGCATTATATTCAAAGATTTATAAAAGAAGCTACACAGAGACTGGTAAGGGCAGAGCAGTGAGACAAGAAAAAGTAATAAAAGACATCCAAATTGGAAACATGAAGTAGAACTATTATTATTTGCAGATGGTAAATAGAAAACCCTAATGACTCCACAAAAAAATGATTAGAACTCTAGTAAATGACTTTGGTAAGATAACAGGATACAAAATTAAAATCCAGAAATCAGTTGCATTTTCATACAGTCATAATGAAGTCTCAGAGAATTTAAGAAAATAATCCCATTTACTATTGCAGCAAAAAAAAAGGAGAACCAAGGAATAGATTTAACCAAGGATGTAAAAGACTTATACTCAGAAAATTATAGAATACTGAAGAAAGAAATTGAGAAAGACACAAATACGTGTAAGCATATACTGTTTTTATGGATAGGAAGAATTAACATCATTAAAATGTCCATACTACCCAAAGCAATCTATAGAATCTACACAATTCCTATTAAAATACTAATGGCATATTTCACAGATCTAGAACAAATATTCTAAAAATGTATATGGATCCACAAAAACACCTGAATAGCCTCAGCAATATTGAGAAAGAATAAGAAAGTTGGAGATATAACACTACCTAATATTAAATTATACTTAACAAGTCCACTGTAATCAAAAGAGCCTGATACTGGCATAAGAACAGGCATATAGATCAATGAAACAGAACGGAGAACCCAGAAATAAACCCATGCCTTTATGGTGAATTAATATTTGACAGAGGAGGCAAGAACATACAATGGAGTAAAGACTGCCTCTTCAATAAATGGTGTTGGGAAAATTGGACAGGTACATGCAAAAAAAAAAAAAATGAAATTAGACCAACAACATACAGTATATGCCAGAATAAACTCAAAATGGACAAGAACGTTAAATGTAAGTCACAAAACCATAGAAATCCTAGAAGAAATCATAGATAGTAAAACCTCAGACATCTCTCCCAGCAATATTTTTGCCAATATATCTCCATCAGCAAGGGAAACAAAGGGGGAAAAAAATTAAACAAATGGGACTACATCAAAACGGAAAGATTTTGCACAGTAAAAGAAACCCAACAACATGAAAACATAACCCACTGCATGGTAGAACATATTCACCAATGACACATCTGATAAGAGATTAATAGCCAAAATATATAAAGAATTTATGGAACTGAACACCATGAAGATAATCAACCCAATTAATAAAATAGCAAAGGA